CACCTTAGCCTCCCAAAGTGCCAGGATTACAGGTATGAGCCACTGGGCTTGGCCACCTTTTGCATTTTTGATCACACACATAATTTTTTTTTTTAGATGGAGTCTCACTCTGTCGCCCAGGCTGGAGTGCAGTGGTACGATCTCGGCTCACTGTAAGCTCTGCCTCCCAGGTTCACGACATTCTCCCGCCTCAGCTTCCCAAGGTAGCACCTGCCACCACACCCAGCTAAATTTGTTTTTGTATTTTTAGTAGAGATGGGGTTTCACCATGTTAGCCAGGATGGTCTCGATCTCCTGACCTCATGATCCACCCGCCTCAGCCTCCCAAAGTGCTGGGATTACAGGCTTGAGACACCACGCTCGGCTGTTAATTTAGTTTTTAAATTAAATGCTACGAGGCTGGGTACAGCAGTCACGCCTATAATCCCCGCACTTTGGGAGGCTAAAGCAGGCAAATCGCTTGAGTGCAGGAGTTCTAGACTAGCCTGGGCAACTTGGCGGCAAAACCACATCTCTACAATAAAATACAAAAATTAGCTGGGCATGGTGGTGCATCTGTAGTCCCAGCTACTCTGAAGGCTGAGGTGGGAGGATCACTTGAGACCAGAAGGCAGAGGTTGCAGTGAGTCATGATCATGCCACTGCACTTCAGCCTGGGTGACAGAGTAATACCGTCTCAAACAAACAACAAAAAAATTAAATACTACGAAAAGCACCTTTGGGCATTTAATTGGCTTCATAAACTGGATTTTCCTATGCTTGGTTGCCAAAAATCAAATTACTCAATCAAAAGTATGTCCAGCTACGCACAGTGGCTCACACCTGTCATCCCAGCACTTTGGGAGGCCAAGGCAGGTGGATCACTTGAGGCCAGGAGTTCGAGACCAGCCTGGCCAACATGGTGAAACCCCATCTCTACCAAAAATACAAAAAAAAAAAAAAAGAGCCAGGCATAGTGGCACATGCCTATAATCCCAGCATTTTGGGAGGCCAAGGCAGATGGATCACTTGAGGCCAATAGTTCAAGACCAGCCTGGCCAACATGGAGAAATCCCATCTCTACTAAAAATACAAAAAAAAAAAAAAATTAGGCGGGCGTGGTGGCATGCGCCTGTAATCCCAGCTACTCAGGAGGCTCAGGCACGAAAATTGCTTGAACCCAGGAGGCAGAGGCTGCAGTGAGCTGAGATCGCGTGACTGCACTCCAGCCTTGACAACAGAGCAAGACTCTGTCTCAAAAAAAAAAAAAAAAAAAAATCTAAAAGTATGTCCAATTTTATAGCTCTTGGTACATCTGCTTAATCATTTCTAAAGGGTTGTCAGTTTGTGATGTCAGCAGCATTACTATAATAAGATTAAATATTTTAAATTTGCTAATAAATGATTTTTAAATTAGCATTCCTTTTTATTGTTAAGACGTATATTTTCCAATGTTGGCTTCATTCTTTTGCTAATCCCCTCCACCCCTCCCCGTTTTTTTAAACAAAAAATAGAGATGAGGTCTTGCTATGTTGCCCAGGCTGGTTTCAAACTTGTAAGCTCCAGCATTCCTCCTGCCTCAGCCTCCCAAAATGCTAGGATTACAGGCATGAGCCACCCCACCCCCTACCCCCATTTTTAATAACTATGGCAAAATAATGTTTACCAGGTCGTTTTTTTTCTAACTAATAAAGAACTCTGAAAACAGCAGTGAGTGACACTCTCTTTTTCTTCCCAGAGACAATGTATATTATTTATCCTTTTAGAAAGTTAAGTGTAAGCACACATCATAACAAGTACACACACCATTTTCTCTTTTTTTTTTTTTTACAAATAATATGCTATATGCATTGTACTGCAACTTGCATTTTTCACTTTATATTTCTTCATAGTCTTTTCATTATCAGTACACATAGCTCTCACCACATTTTTGCAATGAACCATAATTTATTCAACTAGACCCTTAGGATATTTCAGCTCTTTTCAAATTTGTGCTATTACAAACAGTGCTGCAATGAATGTTCTTGTACATATTTCTCTATGTCCTGGTAATTAAATCATATATCCTTCTTCTTTTTTTTTTTGAGACGGAGTCTCACTCTGTCGCCCAGGCTGGAGTGCAGTGGCCGGATCTCAGCTCACTGCAAGCTCCGCCTCCCGGGTTCCCGCCATTCTCCTGCCTCAGCCTCCCGAGTAGCTGGGACTACAGGCGCCCACCACCGCGCCCGGCTAGTTTTTTTTGTATTTTTTAGTAGAGACGGGGTTTCACTGTGTTAGCCAGGATGGTCTCGGATCTCCTGACCTCGTGATCCGCCCGTCTTGGCCTCCCAAAGTGCCGGGATTACAGGCTTGAGCCACCGTGCCCGGCCCATATATCCTTCTTTCACAAAAGCGAACAAAGACCAAAATAACCTGTAAATGTCTATATATGATTACATGAACATGGAGAAAAGTATAGAAGGCTAGCTACATAAATATTTAGCATGGGTTACAGGGAGAAAGGCCATGGGAGAAGGGGGGGGAAAAAGTCAAGAAAAAATAGGACTGAATTACAATTACTGAATTACACGTATGATATAATCACATTTATGCACTCATGTATATGGGAGTACAAGTATCAAGAAATTAAATAAAATTATTTTAAAAGAAAAAGTCTCAGTAGTGGAACTGCTATTTCAAAGGACATGGGCATTTAAAATGTGATACTGCCAGACAGCCCTCCAGAAACGTTATACCAAATATATATTCCCACAAAGAGTGTAGGAGATTTTCTGTTTTCCTATAAATTGACAACACTGGGTATCATCAAACTTTTTGCAAATTTATAAAAAATAGTATCTTATTTTAAAAGTTATCATTTCTTTACTTTTCCAAATGGGAGAAAAAAATAAATAATAAGATGTATCATTCCTTTCATGAGAAGCAATATAATTAAAAGTTATCACTTATTTAATGAGAAGCAATATAATTAAAAGCTGATTTTTTTTTTTTTTTTTTTTTTTTTGGAGAGAGGGTCTCACTTGGGTTGCGGAGGCTGGAGTGCAGTGGCGCAATCTCGGCTCACTGTTGCCTCGACTTCCCGGGCTCAGGTGATTCTCCCACCTGAGCCTCCTGAGTAGCTGGGACTACAGGTGCGGCCGCCATGCCCAGCTAATTTTTTTTATTTTTTGTAGAGGCGGAGTTTCACCATCTTGCCCAGGCTGGTCTCAGGACTCAAGTGATCTGCCCGCCTCTGCCTCCCAAAGTGTGCCCGGCCAAAGCTGAAAATTTTAATGTCTGAGGTCCGTTTCTGTTTTTTTTTTTTTCCTAGACAGCTACCTTCTAATATTCTTTGTCATGTTCCATGCGTTTGTTCACCTTTTTCTAAATTACTGATTTATAGAAAGCTTTTTGTTAAGGAAAATAGCCCTTTATATACGTAATACAAATATTTTTTCCAGTTTATTTACCATATATTTTGTTTGATATGAAACTTAGACCTTTCTACTCCAAAACTATTGGAAACAAAATCCATCTATTGTTTTCTAACATTTTAATGGTTTCATTTTTTATTTTAAAATATTTGATCCGGCCGGGCGCGGTGGCTCAAGCCTGTAATCCCAGCACTTTGGGAGGCCGAGACGGGCGGATCACAAGGTCAGGAGATCGAGACCACAGTGAAACCCCGTCTCTACTAAAAATACAAAAAATTAGCCGGGCGCGGTGGCGGGCGCCTGTGGTCCCAGCTACTCAGGAGGCTGAGGCAGGAGAATGGCGGGAACCCGGGAGGCGGAGCTTGCAGTGAGCCGAGATCGCGCCACTGCACTCCAGCCTGGGCAACAGCGTGAGACTCCGTCTCAAAAAAATATATATATATATATTTGATCCATGGCCGGGCGCGGTGGCTCAAGCCTGTAATCCCAGCACTTTGGGAGGCCGAGACGGGCGGATCACAAGGTCAGGAGATCGAGACCATCCTGGCTAACACGGTGAAACCCCGTCTCTACTAAAAAAATACAAAAAACTAGCCGGGCGAGGTGGCGGGCGCCTGTAGTCCCAGCTACTCGGGAGGCTGAGGCAGGAGAATGGCGGGAACCCGGGAGGCGGAGCTTGCAGTGAGCTGAGATCCGGCCACAGCACTCCAGCCTGGGCGACAGAGCGAGACTCCGTCTCAAAAAAAAATAAAATAAAATAAAATAAAAATAAAATATTTGATCCATTTGTAATTTATTTTGGCATAAGGAATAACAAAGAAAAAACCCAAGTCTCATTTTTTTCCAGATGGTTAGCCAGTTATCCTCAAATGGTTTGTTGACTAATCCATATTTTTCCCCATTGATTTGAAATGTCGTTTTTCTTGTTTAGTAAATTTTCTTATGTACTTAGGTCTATTTCCAGACTTTCTGTTGGTTTGTACCTTCCCCCATATCATACCCTTAAATGCGGATCTGTGAGGGAAGAAAACAGGGTAGTGTTCCAAAAGAGAAAAAACTTAGAGACAGGCAGCTATCTTAAAAATAGCTCCTGATCACATCACTGCACTCCAACCTGGGCAACAGAGCAGACCCTGTCTCTCACACACACAAAAAAATACCTCATGTTGGAAGCTCTCTGAACCTTTATTGGTTCAGGGTGCATCTCCATAAAAAAATTTAAAACAAAAACACCCTGTGTTATCATGGAGAAGAAAAATACTTGTGTACCTCTAGAGGGCAGCACTATCGATACTGGCGTGGAACAACAGGTTTTAATTGCATCAGAATGAAGAACTTTCTAGAAACCACATATATTCAAAGATGCACTGTTGCCTCAAGTGTCATCATTTCCTGGCCACTAACAGAGAAATTATATAGCGGATTCATAAATTTCATAGGAGGCTGGACTCCTAGTTTGTAAAATCCTTCTTTACAATTCTCATTTTATGACAAACCAAGTTATACGCTCTACAGATACTAAAGGAAATAAATATACTTCTCGAGAAAGCTGTTCTGCCAATACAGTTAAGACTAAACTAAAAGAAAACATAACTTTCCAAATCTCACCAATCCTCGTCCTCCTCTGGGTCTTGCAAACGGGGCAGCTCTTCTTTGTACCCATCCATGTCTGTAGTAAAGACAAAGATACACTTTCTTAAGAAAGCCAGAACTCGGCCGGACACAGTGGCTCACGTCTGTAATCCCAGCACTTTGGGAGGCCGAGGCGGGCAGATCACGAGGTCGGGAGATCCAGACCATCCTGGCTAAGACGGTGAAACCCTGTCTCTACTAAAAATACAAAAAAATTTAGCTGGGTGTGGTGGTGGGCGCCTGTAGTCCTAGCTACTCAAGAGGCCTCATGAGGCAGGAGAATGGCGCGAACCCGGGAGGCAGAGCTTGCAGTGAGCCAAGATTGTGCCACTGCACTCCAGCCTGGGCAACAGAGTTAGACTCCATCTCAAAAAAAAAAAAAAAAAGAAAGCCAGAACTCAAAACCAGAGACATCTCACATTCTGCATTTATCTTTGGGTATCTTCCCCCACCTTAAAGCCGAAACTTTGCTCTGCAAAATGAAAAGTATTTAAATTTGTTTTATTGCAAACTTTTCCCACTCAGGCCTCTACCACCCCAATCCCTTCCCACCCTCCACGCGCCCCCACTTCCCACTCCCTCCACTTCCACCTCAACTTGCCAGTCTGCCATGTACCAGGGCTCGACCACCCCCACATCCCACTGGCCCTCCACCTCCCTACACCTTCAGTCCCCTACTCCCACTCCAAGGAAGTCTCCCACCTACCGGTTGTCAACCTCTTCCCCCACCTCTACTCCCCACTGTCAATCTTACCCAGAATAGGCTACCACCGCCCCCTCATCACCTTCCTCCTTCTGCCCAACCTCCACTGCCCCCTTACCCCCCGCCACTCTGGCTTCTCACTGGTCTTACATGAATCCGGCCACCCGCTTCCCGCTCCCTATTCCTGCCTCCAGCCTCCAGTCAATCTTCCACCAAACAGGCCTTGCCCCTCCCCAGCGCCTTCCTCCTATCAGGTCTGGACCCTACCCCCACCATGTTCTCGCCTCAGTCTTCCACCAATCAGGCCTCAATCCAACCACCCTTCCCCCACATTCGCACCTCCAGCCACCTCCAGCCACCTCCAGCCACGTTCAACTGCTTCCAACCGGTTTTCCAAGCAGGCTTCCACTCCCCCCACACCTCTATCCAACTTCTGCCCTACTCCACTCCTGTCTCCCACCACCACTCAGTCCTCAGCCAATGAGACTTCGACCCCCCCCCACACACACATCCCCTACCCACAACCACTGGCTCCCACCTCCCCCCATGGCCAACACTGTCCCCTCCACCTTCCCCCAATGCTGCAACGGGCACCCCTATTTCTCCCCACGGTCACTGGCACCCCCACCTGCTCCTACGCCGCCACTGGTGCCCCCACCTCCCCCAACGCCTCCACGGGCGTCCCCGCTTCTCCCCATGCTGCCACTGGCACCCCCACCTCCAATGCCGCCACTGGCGTCCCCACTTCTCCCCACGCCCACCAGCACCACCACGTGCTCCTAGGCCACTTCCGCCATCACCAAGTGATTCTATGCCGCCACCAGAACCCCCACTTCCCCCAATGTCGCCATTGGCACCCCCACCTTCAATGCGGCCACCGGCACTTCCACTTCTCCCCACGCCGCCAGTGCTACTATATGCTCCTATGCCACCATCGACGCCACCAACTATTCCTAGGCCACCACCGGCGCCCCCACCTCCCCCAACGCTGCCACTGGCACCCCTACTTCTCCCCACCCGCCACTAGGAACACCACCTGTTCCTACACCACCACTGGCGCTCCCACCTCCCCCAATACCGCAACCAGCGCCCCCACTTCTCCCCACGCCGCCACCGGTGCCACGTATTCCTACGCAGCCACTGGCGCCACCACATGCTCCTACGCGGCCACCAGCACTCCCACTTCCCCAAAGGCTGCCAGTGGTGCCCCCACTTCTCCCCACCCACCACTGGCACCAATACCTCCTTCTGTGCCACCACTGTCACCCCCACCTTCAACGCCGCCACTGGCGCCACCACTGGCGTCCCCATCTCCCACTGGCGCCACTGGCGGCCCACTTCTCCCAACGCAGCCACTGGCGCAACCATATGGTCCTACACCAACCACCGGCGCCCCTCACCTCCCCCAACGCCACTACTGGCGCCTCCACTTCTCCCCACGCTGCCACTTCCTCTACTCCCACCTCAGGCCTATATGGGCAACCAGAGTCCAAGGTATACAGTGGTCCTGATTTCAATTAAGTCACTCAATTAGGATTAACCTCTGGACCACTTCAGCACCCATTTGAGTCCGACCAGCCGGTCACCTACCTGGTGTTGCAGCCTCTGGCGTGGCCGGCAGCAGCTCACCTCCAACGGCCTGTGGAGTATGTGCAAAGATCCCGAGCAACTGCGATGAACAACGCCAGGCGCAGGCCCTTTTATAGTGCCCAGACCTAGGGGGCGGTAGGAACTCACGTGTGCCCGCCCGCGCTCCCCTGTACCCACCTATCACAGTGTGGTCACGAGGCAAATTTGAACTTCGCGCCTGTGAACTTGGCGCCTAGCTGTAATGCTTCCGGAATCTGGTCTATTGCTTTCCACTCCCACGGATGTTGCTTATTTGTCCCAAAAGCGCCATTTCAATACTAGAGAGTGGGCACCCGAGGCCAATTCTGTGATTAAAAGTCCCTAACAACTTTCTGATAAAGAGAAACCATGTGAAATCCTTCCTAACAAACTTTTATCCTGCGGTTACTTGGATAAGCGAGCCTTGTTCCCTACTTGAATTGTCCAGACCTCTAAGTCCGTTATTGCGAACACTGGGGGAGGGTGCGGGGGGAGGGGCGGGGGCGCGGGAACTGGGGCGAGGGCGCGGGAACTGGGGCGAGGGCGCGGGAGCAGGGGCGTGGGCGGGAACGCGGGGTGGGCGGGGGAGCGGGGGGCAGGGGTTGCAGGGAAGGCCACCTAGACCCCTAGATAAGAGCAAGGCAACAACTCAACAGCGCCTGGCAACGGCGAACTATGATGTTTACTTCCAGAACCCTCCAAACACTAGAGATAAAAAAAGGTTGGTTACTTGAGGCTTTTTGTCACTCACTCCCTACACACCAAGAGAAACAAACGGGGGAAGCAACGCTTTCTAGAGTGTGCCAGTTTCTCCAGCGAGCATCCATATATTTCATAATGTATGCCTTTGGGTAACAGAACACAAATAAAACGGCCCTGCGTTTGATATTATTTTGTGCTAAGCATCATTCCAAGTGTCTCACGATTTAATTCATACACACTTTTTAAAGTAGGCAATTGTTAGCACTCTCATTTTAGAGATCACACAGCTAGAAAGTGGCAGAGCTGGCCGGGCACAGTGGCTCACGCCTGTAACCCCAGCACTTTGGGAGGCTGAGGTGGGTTGATCACGAGGTCAGGAGTTCGAGACCAGCCTGGCCAACATGGTAAAAGCCCGTCTCTACTAAAGATAAAAAAAATTAGCCGGGCGTGGTGGCATGTGCCTATAATCCCAGCTACTCGGGAGGCTGTGGCAGGAGAATCACTTGAACCTGGGAGGTGGAGGTTGCAGTGAGTCGAGATCATGCCATTGCACTCCAGTCTGGGGACAGGGCGAGACTCAAGGAAAAAAAAAAAAAAAAATGGCAGAGCTGAGCTTCAAACTCCAACTCTAGTTCCAAAACCTGCTCTTAAGCACCAGATTGCCTACCTAAATACAGATACTTTCTCAGTTGATTAAAAAATTGGATAAAGGGGGCTGATTACTCTCTCTCTCTCTCTCTACAATGAAGTTGCAAATTAACTTCTACAAGCCTCTTTTATAAGAATGGGGATTACATGACTGTGCCTCAGGTTTGGGCAAAGAACCAAAATGTTAGCTATAATTGAGAGGCATATGCTTCAAGTAAAAGAGTGGGTCAGGTTTGGAATCAAATCTTAAAATGGGCAGTTCAGAAATTACACACATTTACTCAAGGTGTGCAAGCAACTCCTTTAGACTGAAGGCAGGAGGAGCGGAAATAAACTGGAAATAATGTAGATTTTTCAACAGAAGCGGATAGGAGTAAAAACTGTTGAGTAGGCTTTCTTCCCATAATAATCTTTTAGGAAACAAACACCAATCCACATCAGGGCTTTAAGAAGTTGGGAAGTAAATTATGCAAAATTTTACTGAAAAAAAAATCTTCCCTCTCATTTTTATATCTCTGAGAAAACTGGCAAACAGCGTGTTCTGACCCCTCATGAATTGGTATCTTCCTCCCTGATGCTCGTGGCAGAGTTCGACCACTATACAGAGCAGGAAGGAAAATAATTTTGCCCCCAAAAGCCAAGAAGAGAATGGTCCACACGAAGACCAAGACTACGAGGGTAAATGAAAGCAGAGAGGTCATAAGCAAAAGAGGAGCAAGCATGAATGGGTGTGTTGGGGATCACAGGCTGTCGTCCAGGCTGGAGTGCAATGGCACGATCTCAGTTCATTGCAACCTCCACCTCCTGGGTTCAAGCGATTCTCCTGTCTCAGCCTCACATGTAGCTGGGATTACAAGCGTGTGTGCCACCACTCCCGGCTAGTTTTCTGTATTTTTAGTAGAGACGGAGTTTCACCATGTTAGCCAGGCTGGTCTTGAACTCCTGACCTCAAGTGATCCACCTGCCTCGGCCTCCCAAAGTGCTGGGGTTACAGGCGTGAGCCACCACATCCAGCCACTTTGCCGCCTTAATGGATCATAAACTAACCCCCCACCCTCCACCAGACCTGGCTGAGAAAACAATTCCTAATATCATAGCTACAGCAGGGAAATTTGGTCCTTTGCTGCTGTTTGAGGCTGTTCAAATACAGGTTTCATCACTGGATGACCCTATTCATCAAGCCACTCAATATAACAGGACACAAAATACATTAGCCGTATTAAGGGGAAATCATTCATTTATTGTTTAAGGATCGCAAGACAACATCTTAATTTCTGTAGCACGATTTAAATGTTTTACTTCTTTGATAAAGCAGAGTACAATAGAAAAAAAAAAAAAAAAACAATTAGTTTCCAGTAATATCTATATCTCTAATCAGAATTAAGTCTTCCACAGACATGTTACCTGGAAATAAAAGCCTGTTACAATAAGCAAAGCTTCAACCAGAGCGGCTACTTTTCGTGCCAGGAAAAAGTTCATCCCTGTAGGAGGAATGATGTGCTATGTAAAATGGCTGTAAGGTCACAGCCTTGAGGGCATTGGAAGTATATTACCCTATTCCACATTAAGTAGTTCGGTGAATTTCAAACGTCAGTTTATCTGCAACCATGCTGGCAACCTTTAACTGGTATTTCAATCATCCAGTAAAAAATAAATTAAGAAATCCCTTCACGGATATTCCGTGATTTACATTGTTAAAAGGTACACTGTTCATTAACATGTAATTCTGGTTCAGAATTACCTTTGAGACTCCTAGCTCAAAATTTGGTTAACAGTAAGCATCTTTCAGAAATTCAAGTTCTTATTAATCAATAATTTGTCAGCTAGGATACATTCAGGCATCAGCTGCAACTACAGAATAGGTGCACAGCCTCAGCGCTTTGGAAAGACATAATCTAGAACACTACTGGCAGACAAAAAATTACCTGCGACTGGATAGCGTAAGTGCAGTACAGCGAGACAAAACATATATTCATATGTTGGCTTGTTTAAGCCTCAAACCCTCGACTCTGTTGAGATCCCATAATTTTATTCCTATGACTTTAATAACTCAAGTTCCAGGAGGACTATAAGTCTAATTTGTACTCCAAACCAAATAGCAGTGCAGTTTGCTACTATTGAGGCTGAATCTGTACAGACTTCAAGACCAAGTCCAGAAGACAGTTATTATCTAAAATATAATTACTTGAATACACAGATGGTCCTTCAGAGATTTTACCTATAACCTGTTTCTTGATGAAGGTTATTTAATGCACTGGAGATAACTGTGACTTACTGATCAAATACTTGAATACTTATACTTACCTGGGATTTCATTTCTGCTGAAAGAAATAGGAAGAACAGGACTCACTTTAAGAAAAAAAAAAAAAAACTTTAGAAAGGAAGGTAAAAATCTTACACACACTATCACTTTTGGAAGCAGCATAGAAGGGGCAGTCAAGGGTAAAACACTGGTGAAACAGGTCAAAATTAGGCCAAAAAAAAAAAAAAAAACTATATTATTATCAATGACAGTACCACAACTGTGCCCTTGATAATTAGTCATCACTCCTAAAAATTTTCATTTGGCACCAGATGGCGTGTTTAAGAGAAACACCCTAGGATGTTTTGAATCAGACTTGATTTTGTTAGTTGAGTTACAGGAGAATTTTAAGGGTGGGGGTATGGGGGTCAGGGAAGAGAAGGAAATGGGAAATGGACCAGAAAAAGTCTTGAGTCATCATCTAAATCAACAAAGCACTGATAGCTCCAAACATTAGGTCAGACACTAAAACGACTGATATAGGCTCAAGTGGTTTATAAAACCTATAAAAAGACTACACCAGCAAAGTCCCTGTCGATCTGTCAGAGTTCAGAAACTAAAACAGGGAGTAACATTTTAGCTTAAAACCTTATCTCAAGAGAATCATATACACTTCACATGAATAAAAATACCTGAAACCAAACATTTTTAAAAGCTCCAGTACCCAAAATATAAAGAAAAAAGTTAATCCAGAAGACTGAATCAATCCATGGAATCACAAAGCGGCCGGACAATCTATATCTCCCCTCCACACTAACCATCCCATGGAAGAGACCAAGGGAGATCAGACCTTCCAGACCTATGCACCATCTGGTCGCTGCAAAATTCTACGGAGATTCCTTGTGGAACAGCAGTTTCCCATCTCTTGTGTCTCTCCCTACCATGCAGGAAGCAAGTCTGGCTGTGCTATTCTATTACCATTATATATCACCCATCTGCAACAAGGTACTGTACAGACAAGTAAGAAGTATGTTATCTAGTTCCCTTTCCCCCAGAAGGTTGAGGCTCAGGTATAGGGGTAATTCTCCTGTGCAGTCTTTATTTATGCTGACTCAGTGACTTCAACAGGCTTAATCATGTGGTCAGGTTTGTTGCCAGCTGCATAATGCTCCCACATCTGTAGATAGAGCCGCTCTAGTTCCATTGTGTATTGTTTGGTGTTGAACAGAGGGCTAGATATTCTTTGTTTCCAGACTTTGCCACGAATTTTCTTCAGGCTGAGTAATAAAAAACAAGAAACCAGTTTACAAATCAGGGCAGAAAACTCAGAAACACACCCTATAAATACCTAGTTCCCTTTGTGGCAAAAAATCCATGACCAAACTTTACGCTGTCTCATTTCCTGATTGGCTTCCTGTTAAAAAGGGAAGGGTCACAGCTTACATAATGCTATCACTGAAATGAGCTCAACTCCATGTACTCTGAAAAAACTTAGTTCTTTCCTAAACAAGTACATCCAAGGGATACCACGCATTCCCCATTTCGTTTTATTTCTACCTTTAAAATAACAAGAATTGACAATGGCACATGACTATTCCTATGTACTGTTAGAACATAAACTGCTTAGCTTTTTGGTAAGCAATTTAGCAATGTATGTATTAACCTTCAATGTTCATAACCCTCTGGCCTAACACTAACACTTTTAAATCTATTAAAAAGAAATAATCAGATGCAAAAACATACAGGACCATGCAAAGATATTCATTGAAGCATCATTTACAAAAGTTAAAGCATAAATATAAGATGAAGTATTCAATTTATGGTTATTTTAATGAAATAGGAAACCACTCAAGGGGAAGACAAATACAGCAAGTCTACTGTCATAATTTTCCACTTGTACCTGAACTGAGTTGTTCAGATTTTTAAAAATTGCTAATATCACCAAGAGTATGGTTCTGTTCAGAAATAAAAAAGTAATTGATTCTTCAGGAAACACGGGGGAAAAGATTTCTACTTCCCTTTTGAATATATTATTTTTCATGAGATTATTCTTAGATGAAGAGCTAAATACTTTAGAACCAGAAGCCAGAACATTTTCATGCATTTTTAAAAGCAATAATTTTTATTTATTTTCTTCTAATTTTTGAAATAGAGTCTCACTCTGTTGCCCAGGCTGGAGTGCAATGGCACGATGACAGCTCACTGCAGCCTCAACCTCCTTGGCTCAAGCAATCCTCCTGCCTCAGCCTCCCGAGAAGCTGAGACTACAGGCACGCACCACCACACTCAGCTATTTTTGTATTTTTTGTAGAGATGGGGTCTCGCCATGTTGTCCAGGCTGGTCTCGAACTCCTGGGCTGGTCTCGAACGCCTGGGC